TTGACTCTAATATTTAATTTTCTAGATTCTTACACGTAGTAAGAAAAATTACTATACAATAAAAAATCGTGTTCGTGCACCGTTTTAGAAATATTGCTTGAGCTAAACATTTATATATCTTCAATTACTTAAGTTATATTTTTTACCACTTAATATATAATGTTTTACAAATAAAAAAATACCAGTTTTTTCTCTAATAAAAATTAAAACTTCTACCCATAAAGATTAAAACAATTTTGTAAATATTAAATATCCACATGGAAAGTTTAAGAAAATATTAAAAACAAATAAGAAACTGAAACCATACAAATATAGGAAATATACACATTTAAATTAATTTTTCTTAATTGCTTTTACATTTTTTAAAAGAAAATATACACATATTAGTAATTGATCGTTGTAAAAATTAATTGATTCAAATTAGAAAAGATACACATATATCATTTTCTAACCTTTAGAATGAGACAATTCACAATTTTTCCAAACCAACGGAATCAAATTGATTCAAATTTACAACTTATAAATAATTGTAAAATAATCATCGAACCATTCATTACATATGTCATATATGCTTTATTCATATAAGTTTAAACAAAATAATTAAAACAAAATATATACTTAATTTCATCGATTATACTAATATAACACATAATACATTGAAGTAGAACTACCGTTCAATCAATTTATCAAGTTTTCAAAACAACTTCTAAAATCAGAAATCACCATTACCATCACAATCTCATGTTCATATTATATTAATGTAACCAAATTCATTAAATAAATTATCCACGAAAAAATACAATATCATAAAACCAAATCATATCTACACTATCAAAATTTTCTACTTCATCAAAATTTAACTAATTTATTTTATCTTTAAAACTTGTCTAACCAAATTTAAGTATCAAACTTCATTACTCAAGAAAAAGGATCATGATACGTTAATAACTAAAATTTGACAACAATTTAACAACTGTAATGTGTTATCTTCTTATTGGACCGTTGGTAATTTTTTCTTTTTTGTTGTCGATGTGGTGAAAAGGGATGCAAATTTACCTTTTTGAGGATTCCGAAATTATCCCTATGTGCACCCTCCATTTTTAACTCATATTTCATTCCTCTCTCCCTCTCTATTTCGGTCCTCTCTCCAACCTCCATCAAAATTGTACTTTGCCTAACTCATTATGGAGCAAAGACCCCATGTGGGTGTTTCAGCAAGGTAGTTCAAGTCCCTCAGCATTTGAAGCCAAGACATGCTCTAGTAATTGATTACATGGTGCTTGTAATCGATTACTAATGGCTTAATAGGTACCCCAATTGGGAGAACGTGACTCCCCATGTTGATTTTTCTGTACTTAAGGCTGCCTTTGTCCATTGTTTTCAATGGATGACTCCTGTTGGTCATGGTTGATGGTTGCAAGTGCATCAAAACTCTTCTTTATCCAGTCCATTGTGGAGCAAAGACCCCATGTGAGTGTTTCAGCAAGGTAGTTAAAGTTCCTCAGCACTTGAAACCGATACATGCCTTGGTAATTAATTACATGATGTCTGTAATCGATTACCACCTAAATGGACATTTTTTTTAAGAAATAAATGGCCTAACATCATCATTGATGCAGGGAACATACCCAATAATATTGAAGTCACTCACCAATCTCAAAAAATGGAAAAATTCAACAAAAATAGAGCAAAAACCATCATGGGGAGTGTTGTTGCTCAAACTAGGGAGTCACGTTGAACTTTCTGTATAATTGTCCCCCAAGTTTCTAGTAATCGATTACAAGATCCCTGTAATCGATTACGAGGGCATGACATGGGCACCAATAGTCATGGACTTCACCTAACTTGGTTCAAACCACCTAAATGGGCATTTTTCTCAACAATTGAATGAGTTATGTTGTTCATTGGTTAAGTAAACACCACTCATGGCCAATAAACTCAATCATCCATCCGAAAAAGTGGAAAAGGTCACCCAAAAACACAGACAAAGTATATCAAAATTAAAACTTTATTCATATAATATCAGATAAGTACATATTATCCAACATCTATAATAATAATCTTTTGTATACTAAAACCTGTACAAGACTCATACAATGAAAATCTCTACTTATGTAATTAACATAAATTGAAAACCTATAATAATCCTAAGTCGTGCAACACTTGTTCTCTTTGCACTTTCTCATGGTACTACCAACCTTGACACATTGGGGGAGCTCAAAATGGCAAGAGGGAGAGAAGGGGAAAATGGCTCCAACGAAATCAGAGAGAGGGTGCAGGAAGGGGGAAATGGCGGAAGAAAAGAGCAAGAACCGTGCTTATTAGACCAACTTCGTCGGCGATGGGGAGAGGAAGAACGAGACGGAGAGAGAGAACTTCAGTGAAGAGACCCATGAGAGCAATGGTGGAAAGAGAGTAAGAGCAATGGTGGTATTCGCGAGAGGAAAAAAGATGCAAAACACAAAAGGTTTTCTCAAATGAAATCAGAAAACTCTTTTTCTCTTCCTAAAATGTCCACAACAACACATTATATCTTTTAAAAAAATTCAAAATGACTAATTAATATTTGTCACGTGACGTTGTAAAAAAATTGGTAAAAATTGACTGTTAAAAGAAACATTTTCCCAATATTCTAGTTAACGATCTAAATATCGTACACTATAAAAAAAGAAAAAACTTGAAGTGAATCAGAAACATTGTACTATCAACAAAGTATATAAGATGGACCTTGATTTTATCAAAGAAAAAACAATTGATTTAAAAATATAGAAAAAAAGAAAAGAAAAATACATTAAGGGAAATGGTAGATTTTATAAAATAATATTTAAAACGTTAATTTATTATATTTAAAACTTTTAAGTTAAATAATAAATTATTTATATATCATTATCTACAAGGCGATCGTGACCTCAATGATTAGAAAAAAAGAATGACGTCACTCTGAGTGATCTCTACGATAGAATAATGGCATTTGGTATTGTATGGTGCTGTGATATTTGATTTTGGTTTGTTGTACTCTTGAGTGCAGCTGATAGAAAAGCAAATGGGTGAATGGTTGGAGATTTTATCAGAAACCATCATTGGTCAAATTGAAGTCATGGATCCTTCACACACAGTCCAACCAATACTAATAATTCTCTTGTTTTTGCACTTCAAGATAATGCTCCTCCACAACCACACTCAGTCCTATTCCTATATTATTCGTCAACAACAATGTCTCTATCATTCCAAAAAATTATATTCAAAATATATTTTTCTTTGCTTTTATTCATTAAAACGCTCATTATTTCTTCGCATGAGAGAACTCACGTTCTTGCAATAAGAACATTTAGTATATTTTCTCATTAGATAAAAGGTGAAACATGTACATAGTTTTTGTTCTCTGTTCTGAAGAATTAGAAATTGCTATTTTGAGCAATCTTGATGTCCTTGCAAAATGGTTGAACAAGAACATGTTTGAAAGCATCCTTGAATTGACCATGAAGGTTGGAACAACATCATCTACGTACTAACTATTGAGACAAAGGAGCAAGAGTGTTGATTGGTTTAAAAAATGAAGCCTTGGTCATGAGTTTTGCTGCCTGGTACTTTTGTAAGGCGTGCATGATCACAAATTAATTCATGTGTACACCCACCTAACTACAATCATCAAAACTTACATTTATATTGTAGATTCTATCTAACACCATCATTGTGTTTTTCCTAACTTCCCTTTTTCACTATCATCCCCCCACATTCATGTAGGTTTCCACATCCATTAACAATATATATGTATCATCACCATTGCTCAATAGTACATAGTAAAACCTTTTTCGAAGAATAATCATGAAATCAATGAGGATTGTTTATGTGGGATGAATAAAAATAATAAAGTTCTTTTAAATACAAAAATAAAAATAAAAAATTAACAAGAATGAAGCTAGATTTGTCTAAACCTATCCACATCATGACCTTCACTATCCCTTCACCACAAAATTACTTTCACCATTGTTAATGCATACTGTCAGATAATAATAACAACTAATAATGATAGTAATAGTGATAGTAACGTGTAATGTCAATATAAGAATATATTTTCTCCATTTATAAACTCTTGATATTTAAGACTTTGCTCAATGTTTAAGGAACATTTAAAACCACTGATAAATTGGCATATTTAGTATAGAATATCTTCATTAAATATCCACAATTTTAACTATTAGTTTATACTACAAGAAAATATGACAATTAAGACATTCAAGCAGGTAGGAATATATGTGGAAAATAAATTTGTTAGTTTTTGAAAATTGTAAAACACCAAGAGTTTAGGAACAAAATTGAGAGACTAAAACATTAAGAGTTTAGAAATAAAAAAGTACTTACAAACATGTTATTTTGGAACACGCATTCTTAATAACTGATTAAAATTTATAAAATTTTACGGGTTTCATTATGTTTAATTTTTTTATTTTACAATTTTTCATAAATTCTAATCAATAATATATAAAAAAAACATGTATAGAGTTCCACGTTTTTATTTCCTCAAATTAACCTTCTGTATTAAAAAAGCAAGTCACGAGTTATAAAGATTGATCCCTAGTATCGTGTGTTAAAAATCTAATGATTTCCGTTGTGCATGCATGCAATTAGTATATGATGCAAAATTATCACATACTTAGAAGTTTTAACTAATGACTAACTTTCATAAATTAAAACAACCCAATTACAACCACAATCATGAAAATCGTTTGCCATTAGTTAATCTTGCGATGTTGTCATATATTAACTGAATGGAAGCAATTAAATCTCAAATTTTTAAATTTGAAAAATCATAGATTCAATTTCTAGAAGCCATATTTTTGAAGTTAATCTAATTAAGAGCAAATGCTGTTGTGCTTTAAAGTACACATTCCATAAGAGTGATTAATGCAACCAAAGGTGGCAAGGATTTAAAACCTCCCACAAAATAAAACACTGTCATTACATTGTGCAATTATTATTCTCTGAAGTACTTAATTTTGAAAAGCTCCATGGCCCTTCTGCAAAATTACAAGTACATAATAGCAAGTAGGGTACGTTAAGGGTAGAAAGGTCATTCAGGAGTTCGCTCTTCATCATCATGGCAGAGGAAAATAAACGAACCAAGACAAAGACTGAAAAGAAAAAAAAAAGCCTTTCATTTCACAATTTCACCACCAAAAAGTTTGGTGCATTCTAACCGATCAACAAAAAGGATCATTCATAGCTCTTTCAATCGAAGAGAAGAAAAAACAGATGAATGAAAGAAGATATAGAAGAGTCTAAAATATATACAAAACGATAAATAAGGGTAGTGAATCCTTTGTCTTTATCCTCTATGATATACCATAATATCAAACTATATATATTTTATATATATATTATATCATATGTAAAAACCATCCAAAAAAAATGTTTATTGAATGAAGCTCATGAAGAGGCTATCTGGTGGGCTTGAGCTTGGGCTTGTGGCTGGGTTGCTTGGGCCTGGCTATTATGGAAGGGCAATATTCTGGGCTTGCTGAGAGATAACTCGACAGGGATTTGAGAAGCATTATTGTTGATAGTGGAAGAAGTTTGGTTCGTTGTTGTGGAATTTGTGGCAACCCTTTCACAAGAGGGACACATGGTGAGAGTGGTGGCTGGAAGCTGCATGTAGAAAGGTTGAGAAGTTTTCAAGGCTCTAAGTTCTTGAAGCTCCTTCTGTAACCTTCTATTCTCTTCTGTTAGAGTCTCACAGCATCTCTTCAAATACTCACAATCCACTTCTGTTTGCTTCAACTTTGTCCTGAAATCACATTCACAAATCAAACACAACACAACACAATGTTTAACATTAACTTGAACAAAATGTTAACGAAGGTTGTTGTTCGCTACAGATTCAGTTACCTTGCCCTTCTGTTCTGAAACCACACCTCCACTTGACGATGAAGGAGATTCAACTGTTTAGCCAAAGCAAGTTTCTGCTTCTGCAAGTTATGGTCAAAATTAGAGATTAATAAATAACTTAACAAAATATTTAGGACCCATTTACAGAATTTNGAGGAAAATAAACGAACCAAGACAAAGACTGAAAAGAAAAAAAAAAGCCTTTCATTTCACAATTTCACCACCAAAAAGTTTGGTGCATTCTAACCGATCAACAAAAAGGATCATTCATAGCTCTTTCAATCGAAGAGAAGAAAAAACAGATGAATGAAAGAAGATATAGAAGAGTCTAAAATATATACAAAACGATAAATAAGGGTAGTGAATCCTTTGTCTTTATCCTCTATGATATACCATAATATCAAACTATATATATTTTATATATATATTATATCATATGTAAAAACCATCCAAAAAAAATGTTTATTGAATGAAGCTCATGAAGAGGCTATCTGGTGGGCTTGAGCTTGGGCTTGTGGCTGGGTTGCTTGGGCCTGGCTATTATGGAAGGGCAATATTCTGGGCTTGCTGAGAGATAACTCGACAGGGATTTGAGAAGCATTATTGTTGATAGTGGAAGAAGTTTGGTTCGTTGTTGTGGAATTTGTGGCAACCCTTTCACAAGAGGGACACATGGTGAGAGTGGTGGCTGGAAGCTGCATGTAGAAAGGTTGAGAAGTTTTCAAGGCTCTAAGTTCTTGAAGCTCCTTCTGTAACCTTCTATTCTCTTCTGTTAGAGTCTCACAGCATCTCTTCAAATACTCACAATCCACTTCTGTTTGCTTCAACTTTGTCCTGAAATCACATTCACAAATCAAACACAACACAACACAATGTTTAACATTAACTTGAACAAAATGTTAACGAAGGTTGTTGTTCGCTACAGATTCAGTTACCTTGCCCTTCTGTTCTGAAACCACACCTCCACTTGACGAGGAAGGAGATTCAACTGTTTAGCCAAAGCAAGTTTCTGCTTCTGCAAGTTATGGTCAAAATTAGAGATTAATAAATAACTTAACAAAATATTTAGGACCCATTTACAGAATTTAAAAGGTAGAACTAACAAACTAATCTAGTTTATCCAAAGAAGGAACAAAATGGTGTTGTTGTGTGTAGACTTTACCGGATTGAGAGTGGTGTGTTCTTTGAAGCTTTCTTCGAGAAAAGCTGATTGTTCTTTGGAGAGTCTGAGTTTCTTCCTGGTTGAGCCATTTTCTTCGTCATCACTGGCTCTGGTACCTTCACCCTCTTGTTGTTCCCTCTTGTTTCTTCCTCCAAACTCAGCATTACCGTTTCTCATGCTGAAATCCATCTGAAACGGCGACACCGCACTGCTCGGCGACGACAGCGACGTCCCGTCATCCCCGTCCTCCGGAAAAAGGTTCACGTCCAGCACCCTCGCCGCTCCACCTACAGTCAAGAACCACAACACACCAAACCTTAGCTACACATCACAACACAACACAGCTCTCATCATCATAACAAACAATAAGATAAAATAAAAGCAAGAAATTTTTCAGCGTCCATTCATCCTAAACAACAAAACATACATCTTTTTATACCTATTGATATACCAAACATAAAGAAAACATCAGTTTTACTATGGTCTAATCTCGTACAAAGAAACCCGACTCACAATTTCTAGTAAAATGTTCTCTTTTAACTGATACTCAAACGAGGTAAATTGTTAATGTAAACTAAAAATGCAACGATAAGATGTTGTTTGTGTGAAAAGGGATGAGATTGAATGAGTGAACCACTGAAAGAAACTTAAAAGGGAGAGAGCATTACATGGTTCAGTGAGCCAAGGGATTCGTAGCTGGGAAGGAGGTTGGGATCTGAGAACGGGAGTGAAAGGAAGAAGATCAAGCTGAACCGGTGGATCTGAAGAACCCCTTTTCTCAGCATCACTTCTTTTGTCATCAAACCCTTTCCCCGGTCCTATGCAGAACCCAGGAGGGTCCTTGGAGGGTAAATTAGCAGGCTTGTCGAGAAAAGTAAAGGGTTTGGAAGTGTCGCCTAAGCTCAAAGCCAGTTCCATGGTAAAGGGGTGGATAAAAGGTGTGTAATTTGAAGATACTGATGTTGTTGTTGTTATATATGTACCGACAGAGAGTAGTTGTAGTTTGTTGAATGGAGAAGAGGGTTAGAAAGGGCACATTGGGTTGGTTGGTTGGTTTTGTGTTGCAGAAAACCTCTTCTACTTCAACCTGTTCTTCTTCTTCTACTTCAACCTGTTCTTCTTCTTCTCCTCAGAAGCAACAAGAACAGCAACAACACTGCCTTTTTATGTTGGTTTCTTCCCTTGCCTTTGTGGGAATAAAGATTGACCGACAAACACAGGTTGACAAAGGCACGTGAATCTATTTAAATATTCAACCGTTGTCATGCCTTTCCCCACCACCACACTGCCATAAAATACACCACCACCATGTAGACAAAGATTTTATTTTATATATATGGTAGCTTTGTACACACTTCTCATGCATTAAGATAAGAGAGATTATGACTTTTATATATTTGTTATATATATTAAAAAAATATCCTTTACCGAGTAGGAGTCACCACCAATATATTCATTTTAGCAAATTAAAATGAATTAGTAAATACTTTTAATCAATCCATTATATTCCGGTTCAAATTTTATAGATAGATAAAGATATTTAATGATACAAGTAAGTTGTAAAATAATTATTAGTGTAAGATTAAAATATAGTATTCATATGAGTAAAAAATAATTGTACAAAACCGAACATGTAATCAATTTTTTAAAAATTGGAAAAGTATTTGTACCGATTCAGCATTTATTTCAATAAACTAGGCTTAATGAAGCAAATGGAATTAAGAAATGATAGGATAAAGTTTGGAGAATCTAGAATGAAGGAAAATTATAATTAGTGGTCAGAAAAGCCGCCTGAGATTCTATTAGTTATTTGCCAGTTTATACCGTTTTAAGTGAATCAAGTTAGCCCTATTTTGGTGTTTTAATTTCATGGGTAGGTGAAGCTAACTTGTGTAATAAATTTTAAGAACGAAGCACCACACCACACCATAACCCTCTTGGCATTTGTCATCTTTTTATTCCTCTTTCTTCTTATCTATCTTCCAACAACAAGAGAATTTTTCTATGGTCTTTCTGTTAAGAGTTTTTGCTGGCAGAGTTGTCATGATCAAAAATTTAATAAGACGATATAAAATGCTTAAGCAAAAAGTGGTATAAAGAAAAGGGGTACAAAGAAATTCCATTTTAGTGTAATGTTGTGGTGCGTACTGAAGCAGGAAAAAGTGGTACAAAGAAAATGTGTAGTCAATTTTCAACTGAGTTTAAGCAAAGAGTAATTAAATGTAGTTTTCTTTTTACTGAACCAACCCCATTAAATGGAGTGAAATTTAAGAGGGTACACCAAACAAGCTAAAGAAAGAAGAAGAAGGAAAAAGAAAATAGCGTCATGATGACAAGAAGAAAATGATATATCATCTGAGAGACATGTCTGGGATTATAAACCTGCTCCTGTTGTCTTATTGATTAGCCAGTATATATGTTGGCCTTTCATCTATCGTCACCATCATGCTTATTCTCATTCTCATTATGCATGACAGTATGATAAGAATGATCATTTGTCTTTGGTACCCAATACAGAATCATGTGGGCTATGTCTATTAAGGCATGTATAAACAGTTCAACTGTACTCTTTCACCCTTTCATTTTCCTCAACCCTTTGCTAATTAATTAACCCTCCTATTACATTTCTGCACTTCCCCACTTAAATAATATTAACCAAACTTAAATTACCACATTTTTTACAACTCTTCCATTGAACTGAAATGACCTGCTTCTAGCTTCCAGGTTATCTATGAAATATGTTAGGGTTTGTTTCTATTGTCACTTTTTAATAAAAATATAATATTTTTTTTGTACCTACTTTAATTTTTTAACACAACGAATGTTTTTTATAATAAAAACAATTCCATCGTAATGAAATGTATTATAAAGGACAAAATTCAATTATTTGAGTCTTTACTTGATATTGGAATAATAAGAACTATAATTTCCCATGCATTTCTCTGCTGATTTATATTATAAAATATTGTCACGAGTTAATTAGAGTCTGAAAATTTATGATAAAATATTGTTCGTTTGCTGTTTTTTAGGTAAACATCTTTAATCTATTGTTACTTAAAAGACCAAACCTGTGAACTTATTTATTGGTTTATATTTTTTCAAAAAGAGCAAATCTTTATTATATAAAATAATAATATTTTTTGGTATTGTAAAGATGGACCACTTTAGGTTTTAAATTTGTAAACTTTTCACTTTTTTTTTAAATTGTTATATATGTATATATCTTGATGTTGTTTGTTCGTTAAGGTGTCTGTACGAATGAGCATCTAGTTGGCCGCAAAAGCACGTTTGAAATAAACAAATAAGGAATGATTTAATATAGTTTTATGTTATTGAACGAAAACCAGTTGATTTGTTTTGAGAAATAAGCGTGATGTGTGGGAAGAAAAACATTGGAAAAAAGGTGGATGAGATGATTAGCACGAGATTTGAATTTGACCTAATTGGGATTATTATAATGCATTGATTAGAGAGACAAACCGACCGGGTTTTACTATTCCAATAAAAGTTTTCTGCTTTCGATATTGGTTTATGTAAGCAAATGAGTTTGTGGTTCATGAAAAGGGGAAGCCAAGCTTCTTTAATAATCTCTACCATCTTTTCAACCATTACCATCTTCAAAATAGACATGCAAAAACCGATTGTTAAAAGTTTGTAAACAAAAAAGAACAAGATTGGTATCCAATGACAAGAATTCCTTAAAACGAGGGTCGGCCGAGATGTGTACAATCAATCAACCTTCTTTTCTTCTAAATTTCAAATATTCCTTTTATTACTAATAACATTATTAAAATAAGTTAATCTTTTATGTTTGAAAGTATATAAAGTATTAGAATATATATAATATGAATTTGTAAGATAAAAATATGAAGAGAAATAGATTAGTGAGAAAGAAAGGGTTTGGGTGGTGAGATGGAAAGAGAAAAGCGAGTGGTGGTCCCATGCGCGTGGGAGGGATAGGTTTGGAAAGAAGTGGTAATTAAAAATAGGCACACAGAGGAAATGAGAAGGGTAAGATATGTCATGCTTTTGGGATCATTGCAATAATTGAAGTGATGCAGGCTTTAATGATAAGCTGCAGAGAGAGATGCGTGAATTATTGGAT